CAATCAGTTTTAAAACAATCAGTTTTATAACAATTAGTATGTATATCAATCAATTAGCCGAGCACATAATTCTAAACGACTGATGCTTTCGACCCTGTTCGAACGGATTCAACACATGTGATGGACATAGACATGAGACAAAGGCTCATGACTCAAGGGTCGCCTGGACACGACACAGCTTTAAACCACTCCTAATAAATGAGTATTATGGGCCATTCATGCTTAGGTAAGTTTTAAAAAGTGATATTTTCATACCCCCTCGCCCTCTGCTAACGTACAAATGAGCTCCCCAGCCATCGATCCTACAAACATCGCGTGTTTCAATTTATTTAAGGTGAAGCGTGAGGAAGGGGGAAATTTAACTAAGTCCCCGTAATCCATGTTTTTAAAGAACTGTCACGGAGTTTCTCCCCTTTCTCTGACCGAAGCTGGCTGCCTGGCCTGGTATTATAGTGTTATTTCTTAAATAATTGACGATCATTTGTTCCGTCGAAATGTGAAAGAATTAAGTCAAAACGACGTCACACACGCGACACCATAAAATGGCGCCCGATGGACTAAAGCTTCACTAGGTTATCTCTTACTTTTGCGATATCTAGTAAGTTCATGCAGGGCCGGCGCTAGGAGGGTTCGGGGCCTTGGGCAAATTGAACTTTGCGGGGCCGTTGACGTTATATATTCCGCCGATAGGATATTAAGACACGTTATGGTCGTACTAACGCCTTGCTGGTCATAATCGGATGTGTCATAACTAATATTTGTTCACTCGCTTAGTTTCCGAAATTTCTATTTTTTTCCCATAACAGTTAATTGCCCTGGCCCAAATTACTCATCGCGGCTCCAGTGTTACCAATATCAAGGTTGTCAAAAACAAATAACGAAAATACGAAGCTGAATGAGGCATTGTAATCTGGACACAAGCAAAACACAATAAAAAAAAAAAATAAGACCACCAAAATACTCACGATAGCTTTTTGCGAAAATTCACCTTCCTTGCTTCCACTACGGCAACGCGCGGGGCCCCGCCCCACTTCACCATCCCATAGCGCCGGCCCTGGTTCAGGTGTGAAAACACAAAACGCAACGGTATGAGGATGATAGCAGAACATTGCGGTGATGTTTGTATGTCTTTGAAACTAATTAAAATTGAATTAGATTTTTAGATGACATTTTGCTGTATTAGAGATATTACATTATTACAGGGCATTTATGGGCGGTCGGAGTTCCGTATCATTATGGCAGAATGTGTGCATAACTGACCGTACGCATGCTGACAAGACACCTTCCCCGTACGCACCGTACACAAACTCATCAGTCAAACCCCCTCCCCCGTCACCTCTTCTCTCAGTGAATATATAATACTAGATAGAGCCCGCTAAACATTGGCGACAGCATTGAGTGAACTTCCCATCTAGTAAAGCTACTTGACAAAACATGAACTCAAGTAACGCACATTTAAAAGAATCCCAATGTTTGCTAGACCCCTTCCCCCATGAGACGTCACTGCATACTTTTTATTTCACGCCCATGAACTATATTAATATCCTCATGTCCCAACCACTTTTAAACCGAATATTTTTTTACACAATACTTAAATTGAGACGGTTTCATTTCCGAAAAGAAGATATTACGCACCAAATGCATTTGCGTTATTAAAAATAGATATATATCATTTAGCGTAGTTATCGGGAATTATATTTTGCGCGCTGTGAACTCATTATTTAACCACACTCTGGCGTATCTCTCTCTCTTCTTCTTCTTCTATATCTTAAGGGCCCACGATCAATTTATTGATCATTTTGGCTCCTATGCATGTAGATGGGATTTGCAATATTTCTGTTACTGGTGTTGATGAGGAAATCATGCACTATGGGTTTGAAGGCTTGAGGCAATATACACAAATGAATCTAGTGTTGTCGCCTCATCCGTTCCTTTTGAAAGATTGTTCCAGTCCCTGAATGTCTTGGGCAGGAATGAGCAGCTCCTATACTGGCTTCTTGCTGGTATGAGCCTGAATTGCCTGTCATGGCCTCGTCGCTGTCTATAGGGGGAGAGGGACGAGTTTCTGTTTAATACTGGAACAGTGGACTAGCCCATTATTTATCTTGTACATCATGGAGAGCCTGGATTGTCGTCGTCGTTTCTCCAATGGTGACCAGCCTAGTGTTTCTAGCATGCTGCCAACACTATATGTATTCCTGTATCAGCGGTTTAGGAATTCTCTCTCTCTCTCTCTCTCTCTCTCTCTCTCTCTCTCTCTCCCTATCATCTATCTATCTGTCTATCTATCTATCTATCTATCTATCTATCTATCTATCTATCTATCTATCTATCTATCTATCTATCTATCTATCTATCTATCTATCTATCTATCTATCTATCTATCTATCTATCTATC